AGCCAGGTAGTGTGACAACGCGCAAGGAGAAGCATACAGAAAATTCATTGATATTATTTTCCACTAACTACTATTTCAATAACTTTTCAAGAAAAAGAGTTAGAACCTTTCGGTTTTCAGCATTCGAACAGTGTGGGAAGTAGAACTATGAAAACGTTCAAGCTTCAAATCAGGTCTACCATGGTAAGGCATTCCATCCAAAATGTCTGATTCTTTGTTGTCTTTGTTCAGAATAAAAATGTTTCGGAAAGTTCCAAGAAGAAATAATTGATTTCTTCCTTTCCACCAATGGTCGACAATATTTCGAGATCCGGTTCTTTCGTGCCAGACAATCCACTAACAGAGTCATAATCATCTCTAGGCTTGTCAGCGTAACAAGAATACAATTTTATTGTATCTGTCATGTTCTTCTCTCATCTTGGTACCTGAAGCCTGAAACGTTTTACCAAAAGCTCTCTCGCGCACGCGTGTAGGCTCTTTGTCTTTGGATTGGCCTGCTTGAAATGATCGAAAGTTGACTCATAGAAGCGTAGTGCATTCAGGAACTTCACAACACGACATGCTTCTGTCCATAGATGAACACTTATGAAAAGGATCTTATCTCGTGTGCACTGCACTACTTCGTCACCAAATTAGTGGTTTAGCCGAGGCTATTGCGGTCGCATAGGCCGTAGAGATCTATAGTTTATCTAGTGAGCTTTTTATTATCCAAAAGCCACATTCAGAAGAATAGACTTTCAAATATTGCTCCATAGTGGTGCTTTCCTAAAATATTCAATTAAAATCGTAAAATAGGAGTGCTTTCAAAATACAAGCGGATAAATATTCTATTATAGTATGTTAAACTAAAACCGTTGAAAAACGCATAAAATAAAAAATAAAACTCTGTAAGTATAAGAGATGCTAACCTCTAACTATAGCGTGTGGAATGAGTTCAAGAAAATAACAGATCAAGAATTGATGTATATCATCGTTCTGAGTCTCGTCATTACTGAGACCTCTTAACACGGCTGTTGAAACTACGACGACGCTCATCTGCAAGCTGCCATAATCTTTCTTTCAAATCACCATCATTATTGAAAATATTTCGACGTTCACTAGCACCAGCATAACTTCTTCGTCTACTGCTGGATGATAAAGAACTAAGATCAATTCCACTAATTCCCAACTCTTGTGTTATTATTGTGAGCAAGTCAATTGTATATTGGGCAATTAAATCTTGAATAATTGATTCTAATTCTTGTTGATCTTTCGGATTGAGTTTATTAAGGATTACTTGCAAACGAGCATCTAATTGCTTATATACATCACTACTGCCTATTCCATTAGTGTTACCACCAGTATCGGCGGCATCCGTAGCATCAGCTCGTGTTTTCCAATTGTATGTTGGAGCGGCAGATACTAAACTAACAGTAACAATACCCAAGAATAACACGAACATTGCTGTTACTTTCATGATGATTTTAACAAGAATGGTTACGAATAAATACGACGATTATAGTTTCTTTCGCTATTCAATGTTCTTTCAGGCATATCCATAACTAGTCCTATATATTTCTATTCTATTAACAATCATGCTAATACGAGAGAGAACAAATAGTCAACTCTTTGCAGTAGTCGTTGCACTTGAATGATTTTCCACACAAACAGAATAGACTGTCCTTGCCGTTCACATCACCTCCTTTCGTCTTTCTTTTCTTCTTGAATGGCACGTATATTATTGTATAAATCATCCGATCGGTAGGTGGTTTACTTAGGCGTTACACTAATGTTATTGTTTAAGAGTAAAATAATTTCATGACACTAATATTGATACACTATAGATTTTAAAATGAAATGATAATATATAGAAAGAGACATACATAACAGACGACACTGTAAAAAGAAGCGACTTCAGCGATGTGTTTGCCGAGGAAAAGTGCCTTGTATGTGACTGGATTGCGACTTCAAAATAGTAGGTGTCTTCGATATGTCTGCAATGTGTCTACTGGTAGGCACATAGAAGTCACAATGGAGTCGAATAGAAGACGTGTGAACGAGAAAGACGCTTAGTAGTCACATCATTTCGCCTTCCATTTGTCTCTGAGTTTTTAATCAAAGTCTTTAGATCTTTTTAGAGTGTAGATGTCGAATTTGACTTGCTCTATCTTTACCTGAGAAAAATGTTTTTGACATTTATCCAATAATATGTTTAAAGTTTTATTTTTAGAAAACCGAGAAGGTAAAAATCTAGAAGTTGAAAATGTCAAAATATTGAAATGCAAAACAGTGGGAAGTCACATTCTAAAAAAATGCGACGTTTAGGAAGACACATAAGTCGGATCCCAAAAAGCCGCATTTTAGTGTCTCCTTTGGAGACACATGATGCGACTTTACCTGGTAGTCACGTCACTTTATAGCGTTTTTGCTCTAATCGCATTAAAGACATGTAAGTCGGATCCCATTTAGTCGTATTTTAGCATCTTTTAGCCGTTTTGATGTGTCTTCTGGAAAAGACACATTATAAAATTTTTCGTTCCTGTCAAGAATTGAACTGGATGTATTCGCTTACGAGACGAATGTGTTCATTACTAAACCACACAGGCACATTAGTTATTAGTCTTATTAGCCTCTTACGTTGACATTTCGTGTGAGACTTCGATTAAAAACTCAGAGACACATGGAAGGTGGGATGATGTGACTACTAAGAGTCTTTCTCGGTCACACGTCTTCCATGCTACTCCAGTGTGACTTCTATATGCCTACCAGTAGACACATTGCAAGCATATCGAAGACACCTACTATTTTGAAGACGCAATCTAGTCAGAAACAAGATATTTTTTCTCGGCAGACACATCGCTTGAAGTCGCATTTTTCAGAGTGTGTAGCAGTGAAGGGTAAAGATCTCGAAAGTAAATTTTCAACTTTATTACTAGTATGATACAAATAATAATTGTATAGTAGTATATTCATGACAAGTATGACTGTTACAATCCGTCAAAGAAAACTGGATAAAACGTGACCATTGTTTCTCTCTGGGGGCATCGATAATTCTACTGCTGGAATTCTTACCATTTCTGTTGTATTTAATAATAAGAATAAGAATAATGCTATGTGTCAGGTTATCAATGACTAAGAATTATTATATGAGCAATGTTACCAGGGACTTGTTTCTATAACAAAAATTCACAATTATCAAAAAACTTTCTCAAATGATATATATTCGAAATACATTTATGACTTCTGTCGCGATGTCTCAAACACACCAGACAGATTCATTTTATAACGGGTATTGCATCAGACTCATTTGAGGAATTATTTATGAAGTTTCGTGATTTCCGATCCAGTATTGAAAAATATTGTTCAATTGATTGATGGAATCCGCCGTCATATCCACCGATCATATAAGTCTAACTAGAATTTCTTCAACCAGAATTTGATACTCAGATTCACACACCAAATCGATTTTGTAAGAAATCTTTTAACACTAGAACGCCCGTAGCGGTCATTTTGACCGTTTTGTGATTTTTATCCTTAATAAAACAAACTGCATACAATTTATTTAAAAATAAATTATGTCATAACTTTTAATTTATCCCACAAAAATTATTCTTTGCAGAATTTTTAATTCATTTTTGAATTCAGAACTATTTTTAAGTATAAAATTTTTAAAAAAAAACAGTAACGGTCAAAATAACCGCTTTGGGAGTTCTAGGTCATTAAAATTTCCTGGCGTTCTAGTGTTAAATCTTTTCAACATTTACGTTATTTTAGCAGTAACAAACTCCATCTCTTCAAAATAACTGTTTTCAGCATTGCTCAAAGTTGTCTCATGCAATTTATTTTTAATTAATTTTTTTTCTCAGAGTTTTACTCATGTGTGAAAATATTTATCATATCCTGATATTTCTGCGTCAGAAAAGTTAAAATATTTTCGCTTTCCAATAGGTCTAAATATTGGTGTCCCGAGACCATAGATGTAACCGATCAAGATTTTCTCGACCGGATCGGTAACC